GTAATTGAACCCTTTAGAGATAATCTTCCTTAGTTGCAAAGAGATGTGCTCCAGTATTTCTACAATCCCTTTATGTTTGAGCCTCTTAGGCTATAAAATGAGAGCTGGGCTAGAGCAATAAATTGGATTAGCAGTTGTCCAGGGCACAGTGAATAGAGTACCTGGCCTGGAGTGAAGCATTCAAATTCAGCCTTGGACACTTATTAGCTATTTGACTTTGGGCAAGTCACTTAACCTTGTTTACCTCAGTTTCCTCATCTGTAAAATGAACTGGAAACAGAAATGGCAAACCACTCCAGCATCTTTGCCAAAACAAACAAAAACAAATGGGGTCACAAAAAATTAGAAATGACTAAAACTACTCAACAACAACATGGAATAAAGTTAGGGATTCACAGTCTGACAAAGTGTTAAGTAGATACATAGATGCTTCCAGTCTGTCTCCAGCCAAGTAAATTGTTTTAGAAAAGCAGATTTTGCAAACATTTGAAAAACAATTAATTCCAATACTGTATAAACTATTTGGAAAAATACAGAAAAAAGGAATCCTACCAAATTCCTTTTATGACACAAATATGATGACAATACATAAACCAGGAGGAGCAAAAACATAGAAAGAAAACCATACACCAATTTCCATAATCAATATTGATGTAAAAATCTTAAATAAAATGCTACCAAAGAGATTATGGTAATGTATAACAAAGGTCACACACTATGACTAGGTGGGATTTATGCTTGGAAATGAAGAGTTGGTTCAGTATTAGAAAAAAAATATTGGCATAACTGACCATCTTAAAAATGAAACCAAAAAAAACCCCTTATGATTATCTCAATAGATGCTGAAAAAGCTTTTGACAAAATACAATATCCCTTCCTATTAAAAACACTAGAAAGCATTGGAATGAATTGTGATTTCCTTAAAATAATAAATATCTATCTAAAAGCATCAGCAAACATTATATGTAATGGGGATAAACCTTCCCAATAAGATCAGGGCTGAAACAAGGATGCCCATTATCACCACCATTATTCAATATTGTACTATAAATGTTAACTATACTAATAAGACAAGAAAAAGAAATTAAAGGAATTAGAATAGGCCGTGAAGAAACAAAACTGTCACTCCTTGAAGATGATATGATGGCATAGTTAGAGAGTCCTAGAGAATCAACTAAAAAACTAGTTGAAATAATTAAGAACTTTAGAAAAGTTGCAGGATATAAAATAAATCCTCATAAATCACCATCATTTCTGTGTATTACCAACAAAACTCAACAGCAAAAGATAGAAAGAGAAATTCCACATAAAATAACTGCAGACAATGCAAAAAACTTGGGAGTCTACCTGCCAAGACAAACCTAGGAACTATATGAACACAATTACAAAACACTTTTCCTACAAGTAAAGTCAGATCAAAAAGCCTGGAAAAATATTAATGGCTCATGGGTAGGCCAAGCCAAAATAATAAAAATAATTCTACTTGAATAAATTTACTTATTCAGTGCCATACCAATCAAACTATCAAAAACTTGTTTTACATAGCCAGGAAAAAAACTTAATAAAATTCATCTAGAAGAACAAAAGATCAAGAATATAAAGGGAATTAATGAAAATCATGTAAAAGAAGGAAGCTATACGAGATCTCAAACTCTATTACAAAGCTATAATCATCCAAACAATCTGGTCCTGGCTAAGCAATAGAGTGGTGGATCAGTGGAATAGATTAGGTATACAGTACACAGGAGTAAATAACCATAGTAATCCAGTGTTTGATAGATGAAAAGATCCCAGCTTTTGGGACAAGAATTCACTATTTGACAAAAACTTAGTTTGCAGAAACTAAGTATAGATCAACTACTAACACCGTATACCAAGATAAGGTCAAAATGGGTACATGATTTAGACATAAACAGCGATACCATGAACAAATTAAGGAAGCATGATATGGTTTGCCTGCCAGATTTATGGATGAGGGAAGAATTTATGACCAAATAAGAGACAGAGATCATTACAGGATATAAAATGGGCAATTTTGATTACATTAAACTAAAAGATTTCACACCAACAAAAGCAATGCAATCAAGATTATAAGGAAAGCAGAAAAATAGGGAAAATTTTTTTTCAGCAAGTTTTTCTGATAAAGGCCTCATTTCTCAAATATATAGGGAACTGAGTCAAATTTATAAAAATATAAGCTATTCCCCAATTGATAAATGGTCAAAAGTTATGAAGAGGCATTTTTCAGATGAAGAAATTAAAGCTATCTATAGTCATATGAAAAACGCTCTAAATTACTATTGGTTAAAGAAATGCAAATTAAAACAACTCTGAGGTACCATATCACGCCTATCAGATTGGCTAATATGACAGAAAAGGAAAATAACAAATGCTGAAGGGAATGTGGGAAAATTGGGACACTAAAACACTCCTGGTGAAGCTGTGAACTAATCCAACTGTTCTGGAGAACAATTTGGAACTATACCCAAAGGTCTATAAAACTGTGCGTACTCCTTGAGCCAGCAATACCACTACTAAGTCTGTATCTCAAAGAGATTTAAAAAAAAAAAAAGGAAAAGACCTATATGCACAAAAATATTTATAGTAACTCTTTTTGTGGTGGCAAGGAATTGGAAAGTAAGGAGTTCCCCATCAATTGGGGAATGGTTGAACAGTTGCAGTATATGATTGTGATGGAATATTATTGTGCTATAAGAGGTGACAAGTAGGATGCTTTCAGAAAAACCTGGAAAGACTTATATGAATTGATTGAAAGTGAAGTGAACAAAACCAGGAGAATATTGTATATGGCAACAACAATATTATAGAATGATCAATTGTGAATGACAACTATTCTCAGCAACACAATAATCTAAGACAATTCTGAAGTACTCATGATGAAAAATGTTATCCACTTCCAGAGAAAACTGATGGAGTTCGAATACAGATCAATGCATACTTTTTTTTTAAATTTTATTTTTCTTGGTGTTTTTAGTGTGAGAGGTCCTGGATTTTCTTTCACAACATTAATAATATGGAAATGTGTTTTACATGACTTCATACATATAACCTATATTAAATTGCTTGCCATCTCAATGAGGAGGGAAAAGGAAGAAGAGTCAGAGACAATTTGGAACTAAAAGTTAAAAAAAAAAACCAAATGTTAAAAATTGTTTTTACATGTAATTGGAAAAAATAAAAGCTAAAAAAAGAAAGTGGATTTTGGTGTAAAATGACAGTGAAAGTATATTTACTTCTCTTTCTGATATTAAATTTTTCTGGACTAGATTAAAAAAAATTTGCTTTACTTAGAATAATAGTTACAGGGGAAGCCAGCACAAAATTCTTTAATTAAAAGCCACTGTTAAGAGCAAAGCCTAAATGGTCAATAAAAATAGAAACAAAATATAAGATGAAAATGAAATAAATATGCATTTATTGTCTATTGATTCCATGGGAGCATGAAAAGAAAATTTCTAACATCTGGAGGAGAAAATTAGGAATATTTTTAATCATGATTTCCCCTAATGCTTAAGTCATTCCCTAGTGTTGTTACATGGAATAACTCAATGAGAATACATTTTTTTTAATCTCCCCTAGCTCTTAGCATAAACTCTGTACATAATATTTGCTTAATAAATATGTTCGGAATGAATGAATGAATGAATGAATGAATGAATGAATGGTTTCACTCCACCTTGCATTTGAAATGGAACCTCAAGGCTGAGATAATGGAGAAAAAAAAGAATCCGCTATTTTTAAAGGATTCAAATATTAGTGCACAAAGAGAAATATGAACTTTAAATGAAAATGTAATTTTAAGGTTTCTGTAATGCCTGATTTTGTTGTTGTGTTGTTGTTGATTTGTTTGGTTTTTGTATGTTCTCTCGACTCCTTCATCCTAGCACACTAGGGCAATCCTCTACACAGCCACCATATTCTTGTTGACAAGGGATGCTGGACCAAACATGATATTTGGAAACCTGAGAACTAAGTTTGCCAATGAAAGAATAGTATGTCTGTGGCTATAGCTAGATGGAGTTCTAAGGAGTTTTTGCCTCTAAGCCAATCAGTGTGAAGTATTGAATTCAATTCAGTTGAACAAATATTTATAAAGTGCCTACTAGATGCCAGGCAGCTTGACTTCAAGAAATTGGCATTCTACTGGAGGAGGGATCTCTTTGAAGTACGGACCTAGCAGAAGTATTGCTGGATCAAAAGGTATATACAGTTTTATAGCCCTTTGGGTATAGTTCGAAACTATTCTAAACTCCACCAAAAGTACATTAGTGTACCTATTTTTCCATATCCTCTCCAGTATTTGTCATTTTCTTTTTCTGCCATGTTAGCCAATGTGATGGGTGTGAGGTGGTATCTCAGACTTGTTCTAATTTGCATTTCTTTAATTATTAGTGATTTTGAGCTTTTTTCATGTTTTGCATGACTTCACATGAATAATTGATGCATTGCTGGTCTTCTCAATGGGTGAGGGGTTGGAAGGAGAAAGAGAACTGGGAACTTAATTTTTTAAAAATGAATGTAAAAATAAAGTATAATTATTCAGAACATTTTTTCACATGATAATCAATAGCTTTGAATTCTTCTTCAGAAAACTGCCTGTTAATACTCTGACCATTTATCAATTGGGGAATGGCTCTGAGATTTCCAAATGTCATATTTGGCCCAGCATCCCTGGTCAGCAAGAATTTGCTAACTGCGTAGAGCCTTGCCTTAGCATGTAGTAGGCTTAGTGTAACATGGCTAATGTGGAAATATGTTTCACATGACCTTCTTGTCTTCTCAGTGGGTGGGGGAGCAGGTAGAGGGAGGAAGAGAATTTGAAACTGAAAACAAACATTTAAAAAAAATTTTAAGGAAGAGATGACTGTGACCTTCTTATGTCATGCACTGATTCAGCACTTTTGATGTCCTTGAGAAGTGGAGCAACAGGGAAAATAGTTTTCAGGAGCGTGGTGTGGGAGGGTAAGGGAATCACATACCTGTGGAACGAGTTCACCTCCTGGCTGGAACAGGCATGGAGTGCTTAGCAGTCCTCACTGTCTGTGATAGGAAAGCAAGGAGGAGTCCTGTGAGAATCTCCTGGAGCCTTGGGATCAGTTTTAGACCAAATACTGAAATTGCTATTATAATTTTTTTTCAATAAAAACCTTTTCCTTCTTAAGTGAGCAAACTGGATGAGGTCCAGGTCCAGCTAATCCTACAGGATTGCTACACCCTATCCTGAAAGAAATCTCTTAGATCTCTGCCTAGCAGACACTCCTCCCTGAGTCATACACATCCTTGACCTGTCTCCATGAGGAAAAAATATTGAAAGGATGCTCTGTAAGGCAACAATCTCCTCCAAGAAACCTTTCCTGACACATAGTAGGCTCTTAACAAATGTTTGGGTTTTTTTAATTCCTAATTATTACCACTCTCACCCATCTGCCTCTTCCCTGAACTCCAATCCAGCTACACAAAAAGTATTTATTAATCTCCTATATCTATAACTACCCAAATTGGCAAGTAAGTATAGGATCATCAATCTGAGCTCACCTAGTCCAAAATGCTTATTTACTGCTGAGGAAACTGGTGCCCAGAGAGGCTAAGGGACATTCTTCCAGCTGCACAGGTAATTAACATGAGAGGCAGGATTTGAGTCCAGATTCTCTCTCTGCCTCTAGAGCCAGGGATTTTTTCCAGCTTGACACATTATCAACTGTTATTTTTAAAGAGGTGGTAGTTTCTTTCCTGGCCACTCTGAGGGCAAGAGTTATATTCTTCTATGGCATTCTCCTTCTTCTCCAAACCAGTATTTAGCACAGTGCTGGGTACTAAACATGTGAGAGTAGGTAACCAGCTCTAACTATAGAAATAGCTGCAAAGGGACATATTGTCATACAAGGCATTTATCCTAGATTTGTCCCCTGCTTGACTGGGACAAAGGTCTCAATGAGTTTTCAAACTGCCTGATTCTGTGGCTCTGAGGGATACCTGGTAAACTAGGGAAAGGTGTGGGAATCCCCTCCACTGGCTGTGGAAAGATGTATCTGACAGACTAGGTCAGGAGACACCCAGCAGAGACACCCAAGCCAAGGGCTCAGCAGTGCCTCTAACCTCAGGATTTGCATAGTTTCGACACCAACGAGTTGCCGCTGAAATAATTCCAAGGATATTTTCACAGGAGTGGTGTGGGGTTATTTCCAAACACTTGTGCGCATGCACTTCACCTTCAGCCAGCCCTCTGGGGAAACAGAAGTGGTAGAAGCCACAGCCCTGCCCCAGCATTAAATGCCAAAGCACTTACACTTGTCTTTACTACTCATAATTAAAGAATAAAAATGGCTCTTGGGTGCACACTGGTGATGCATTTTACAAGCATACAACTGTCTTGTATTTTCTGGATCTGGAAGTTTGCTTGTCTGTGTGTTCTGCCCAGAGGGGTACATACCTCCAAGACCCCTCTTCCTCTGGTGATCATAAGCTCAGGGCCCATGCGGTCATCATGTGACTGATAAAAATTCTCATGATTTTTGTAACACTAGAGAAGGAATGTCCTTTGCTGGGATTGACTTTGGGCATGGCTTTTTAGGTCAGGCTGACCTGACTGTGAATTCAGATTAGGACTGGGGAGATGAAAGATGCAGTGGAGAGAAGCTAAGAGAACCTGCTAAAAGAAAAGGGGGAGGGTCCCCGGTGTCTAGGTAAGGAAGACTGAAGAAAGGAAGCCCTTCAGTGGGGAATGCTTCCTGGCCCTAGCCTTCAGCCTCACCTTAGTCCTGACTCCAAGGGATTCTGAACAAGTAGAATTGGGGAGTCATTTTCCAAGAGTTTCCCTGGCCCAAACTGACAGAATTTTACAAAAATAGAATTAGAATTGTAAAGAGTTGGATCCCAGTCCGGGGAATATAATAAAGTAATCAAAGTTTGTTTGCCAGGTTCTTTACCATTCTATTTTCTTTTACTCCTTCCTCCTCAAGCTATCAATCCCTACCACCCATCTAACCCCCACGGTGGCTGCCACATTGACTCTTCCCCATCTGGACCTTTGGGAATATCCCCTCTTTCAATGTCCCTGCCCCTCCCCAACTATTCAGTTATCTTATCTCCCATTTTTTTCTATTAGCTTAGTTAATCTAATAAACTAATTGGTGATAATGTATTAGTAAGTGCTAGTAGTTTACCACATTAGCTTTCTCAGTTAATAGAATAAATTTCAATAGGGTCTTCTGGAGGGAATGCATTACTGTAATGGTGAGAGTTTCAGGCATTGTGCTAACATGATTGGGGAAAAGTGGAGGAGAGTTTTTGGGGAAAGATTGTACTTCAGGGACATTTAAATCATGTCACATGAGCAGCTGCCTACCATATCTCCTTGTGTTTATCTGGCATCTGGCTATTTGCACTAATTGGCATAAAAATAGAAAAGGTCCTTTGATATTTAGTGACTCTGGGGTCCTATCAGCCTGGGTACTAACTCCCCCAAGGGTACAAATCTCAACCCCTCCAACCTTTTTCATCCTGTATAACTCTTATCCATGTTCTGCCATAAATCTTTCATATCCTTCTAGTGCGCTAGGGACCTCCTTCAGGATGTTTTGATATTGAATGGGTATTGAAACGAGCTAGTGAGCTTTTCATCAGCTATTCTGATTATATGATAGGTACCTCCTTTTCCAGTTATACATCTCTCTGTTGATATCCTTTCTGCTGGTTCTCCTGCACAATATTTTATTGGTAATATGGCACAATCTCTTCTCATCCACCACGTACTTCCCATCCACCATCTCTCATTGGGTGACCTTCAACTTTGTTTCTTCAGAGGCTGTAGCATTTATTCTGTGATTCACAATTGTACAATATCACTAGAAATATACTAATGTTGAAAAATGGAGCCTTGTTTTTGTTCCCACTTTTTTCCTAGGGAGAAGTTTGGGGGTCACTAAAAACACCATACAATTCCCCAAAACAGTCCAACAGCTCACTTCCTCTTGATCCATTTTAAGATCAACTCACAGTTCACCTGCAAGGTCTATCCAAGTACATGTACTTATGGACCAGTGACTTCCCTGCTCCAAAACACTTTCAGTGGCTCCTTATTTATAGGATAAAATACAAACTCCTCAGAATGGTGTTTAGTGCTCTCTAAAAATCTGATTCTAACCCATCTCTTTTGCCTAATTATGCTAAACTTCACTATGAAGCTGTCCTTTGACCTCTACTTACCCCCCTCCCTCTGTGTATTTGTACATAACATCACCAATGTCTAGTATGTACTACCTATTGACTCTCCATATAATGGCATATCATAGTCTGGATAACAGATATTTTTGATCCATTTGGTTTTCACTGTGTGTGTAATTAGGTCAAACTTTTCTGAGTGAACATAGGAGGCTCTGCAATGATCCTGGGATGCAATCAGCCCAATTTTATGTGAAAGCAAGAGCACCCAGAAAAAATGGTGCCCGGTTATTAATAACCAGTTGGTGGCCAAAGTTATCTCTTTTACATCTTTCATAGAACCTCACATGATTATGATTTCTGCTTACGTGATACCACTGTTGGAAGACAGTCTTTAAGACCAGAATTTGTTCTAACAAAGCAATTGCTTTTCTATAGTCACTAAATTAGAAGCTCCATGAGATTCTACATGGAGATTCTGCTTCTCAACCTCCAGGGACCCTCTGCAGCAGGGCAAACCTTTTAATCCCACTATTGGCAAAGAAATGATCACTACACATACTAGATACTAGTATAAATGACCCATCTTTTGGAGGTCTATCCTATGGCGTTCTTCAAACCATGGTAATGAGATTATATTCAATACATCAATGTGCCTGAGATCACCAGAATGGGTATTCCCTCCCATGGTGTATATTTGCTCTCATTCTCTGGGACTCTTGTCCATGTCTTCTTTCCAATAAATTCTCCATGGGGATTGACTCAAAGTTCTAGGGTTCTTCCTTTACATATCCACGGGTACCAATGCTGCTTAAGAGTCACCCATTGGTTAACTCTTGCTCTCATGACATAACTACTTCACCTCTTCATTTATTTATTTTTGAATCTTACCATTGGTGTGATTTAATTCTTCCAAAAGTATGTCAACCCACTAGTTGTTGAATGAGAATCTTTGCACTACTACTCTATACCAACAGTTAAACTAATGTTCATTGACCATATAAAAATTATACAGTTCTTAGTGTCCTTTGACTCCTTTTCTGCTGCCTTTCAGAAGAGGAAGGGCACAGGATGGAAGACCATGATGTGTCTTACTTTGTCTTATGGATGGCCATGGCCAAGGATCTTCCTTTTGTTTCTCTTGCTTCTGTGACTTTGTTTCTAGTGTTTCCTATGACTAAAAGGAACCCTCCCAGCACATCTGCTTATCAATAACCTCTTCAAGGCTTAACTCAGGTGCTACTTTCTCCCTTGATTACCTCAGCTGGAAATATCTCCCCCTCCTCTACCTCCTCCCCCAAACTGAAGACCTCTCCAATTAAGTTCAATTCAATTCAATAGATACTTATAAAAGCACTTGAAATAAGGTTTTATACTAGGCATAGGAGGTGGAGGGGTTCAGTTCAGTCATTTCTTCAGTTGTGCCCAACTCTTTATGATCCCATTTTGGGGGATTTTCCTGGCAAAGATATTGGGGTGATTTGCCATTTCCTTCTCCAGCTCATTTTACAGATGAGGAAACTGCGGCAAACAGGGTTAAGTGACTTGCCCAGGATCACACAGCTAGTAAATGTCTGAGGTTGGATCTGAACCTGTGAAAATAAGTCTTCCTGACTTCAGGCCCAGCCTAAAGAGCTTAGGGGACTGGGTGTGATATGGCATATACACAGAGAATTATGATCTAAACAATCCACAAGCATGTATTAGTGCATCTATGTGCCAAGCACTATGGTAGGCACTGGAAACTCAAAGATAAAAATGAAACAACTCTTGCCCTCATAAAACTTATAGTCTATCTGGGAACACTCACTCACACACACACAGACACACACACACACATATGTATGTATATATGTGTATGTAGGGTGGAAGTAGTAGTAGCTGCAGGAAATCAGGAATGGACTCATGTAGGAAATAGAATTTGGGCAGAGTTTTGAAGAAAGCTAGGGATTCTAATAGGAAGAAGTATAGAAGGAGCACATTCCAAGCATAGGGGAAAGCCTGTGAAAAGCACGGAGATGAGAGATGGACAGGATGAACAGAAGGTCAGTTTGATGGGATCATAGAATATAACAAGGGAAGTAATGTACAATGTGTCTGGAAAAGTAGGTAGTCAAAGCCAAGTTGTGCAGGTTGAAATTCTGAACAAAGCTATGGAATAATGCAAGCAAAGAAGAGATTCAAAGAAAATGCTTTGGGAATATTTGGAGAGGGAGAGAACATTTTTATCTGGAGGAATCACAGAAAGCTACTTGAGGCAAGTAGCACCTAGGCATGCCCTTGAAGGAAAATTAAAAAACAAAACAAAACAAAACAAAAAAACAACCAAAGATGAAAAGGTGAGGAATTCTAGACTTCGGTGATGGTGTGATGGTCTGTGCAAATGCACAGAGGTGGGAGAAAACAGAGTTCAAGGAACAGCTTTGATTGTTTAGTTTGGCAGGAGCAAACACTGTGTGATGTAAGGAAGGAGACTCAAAAGGAATATAAAAGACATTGTCTATGGAGTAAGCATTTAATCTTAGAAGTAGGGAGCCACTGGTTGTTTTTGATCAGGAAAAGTCATATGGTCGCATCTTTTCTATAGATCATTTTGTCAGCTATGTGGAGGTTGATTTGGAGACTCAAGATGCTAGAGATGGGAAGATCATTTAGCAGATAAATCTACAAGTCCAGGCCAGAGCAGGTAAGGTCCTGAGCTTATTAGATGTGAAAGGTGGAGATAAGGAAAGAGTCAGAGATGACTCTTGGGGTTATATCAAGCCACCTGAGTGACTACAAGGATAACTGTCCCCTCATCAAAAATAGGGACATTTGACAGAGGGGAAGGTTTAGGGAGAAAGGAGATGATGAGTTCAGTTTGGGACATTCCATTCAATTAAACCCAATAAACATTTATAAGGCACCAAAAGTGTGGGATATAAAGTTTAGATATGGATTTGCCCCCATGGAGCTTAACATTTAGTAGAGCTATCTAATACCTATAATCCCCCCCAAAAATGCATAAGAGCGTAAAAGAAGTGCAAGTCATAAGTTATGTGATGACCAAGGAGGGAAGAATGAAGGGGATAAGAGGAGGATTTACAGAGGAGATCACTTTTGAATTGGGCTATGCTTTCAAATCTTGTCTGACTCCATCACCCCAAGAGTTAGGCTATAGAAGATGGTCATAAATTTGATATTCAGAAATTTGTTCTATAGCTATGTATGTACTTGTCTTATTTTTCCATATAAGAAGGCAGCAGCCACAAAAGCCTGAGTTCAAAATCCATGCTTGACACTCACTTAGCTGTATCATTATGGATTGAGTCATTGAACCACTCTGAACCTCAGTTTCCACAGCTGTAAAACAGATAATATCTGCATTTCTCACCTTCATTGTTGTCAGACTTGAATGAGATAATGAATGTGAAAGATTTTGCAAACTTTAAAGTGCTTCTACAATGTCAGTTATCATCATCTGAAGTGTTATCATAATCTCTTTGAGGGAACTACTGTGTCTTACCTTTTGTGTTCCCAGAATTTAGCACCCATAAATCCTTGTACATAGTGGAAGCTCAATAAATGTTCTTGAATGGAAAAAGTACTTGGTCTGGAATTGAAAGACCTAGGCTAGGCTCGAATCCTGGTTTTCCATGGTCTTGGGAAATTCACTTCATGTCTCTGGGCCTCAGTTTCCTCATGTGTAAAACCATAAGGTTGGAATAAATTATCCCCAAATCCCTTGCCAACTTTAAATCTCTAATCTTATGCACTTCATCTCAGGTAAGTGCCTCCTCCCTGGGACACAGCATATGCATATTTGCGTCATGAGCAACCTCTCCAGGCCTTCAAGGCAGTATTTGTCTATGAATAGCTTTCACAGCCTCCTTGGTCCTCCTCTCAGTGTTGAATTGACTCAGCAGATCTAAGACCAGAAAATAGTTTGATTGACAGACAGCTAAAGGTTCTAGAAGTGAAAGGATTTGGATGTAGGGGTAGAATTGCAAGACAGCACAGACTCTTGAGGAAAATCTCTCCTCGAGATTTTCCATGATAAAAGGAGGCAAATGAAAGTAAGGACCCAGAGAGTGGGTTTGGGTGGGAAGGGGAGAAAGAGATAGCTGCCTTAGATTAGGGAGAAAAGTTGCCTCTGCGGGTTTTTCTTTTGATGGAGAGATTATAAATAAATTGCTTCCCTGAGGAAGGGTATTTAAGAAGTCAATTTGCAAGGAGTGGAGCTGGGAAAGAAGAGGAACTCCCACCATGCAAACCATGGCCATTTGTTTACAAATGATTGGCACTCGGGCAGATTGGACAGAGGTGCTCCTAGCTAATGGCTTTAATTAGGAACAGGAGTCTCATCATTTCCCACTGCTCTCTTTCTCATCCTATCTGAGGGGAGGAGGAAGAGGAAGACGAGGAAGGTCTCTAGTTAGTGCAGCCACAGCTGCCTCAGTCCACATAATGAATGTGTGGGAACAAACCAACCCTGAGTCTCCTGGAGGACGAAACTAACCCGAGTGGTTTTTCCAGAAAGAGATAACCTCATGGCTGTTTATTAATAGGACAATGGATTCACCACAGATAAATGTTTGGTGGTGTCTGTATAATTGTTCTCAGGCAGTTATTAGTGCAATTAGCAACCCGTAAACTTGCAAAACCTCGTCTAGACTAGCATTAGAACCTGTTTGTTATTGCTTTTCATTTCAGAGGCCAGATAAACAGTTCAACAAACAGCCAAACTTGTGTTTATATGGAATCTTCCTCTGTCCCATTCAGAGCTCTGATTCTCTGTCTTTGTCTCTGTTTCTCTCTCCCTCTTTCTCCTCCTACATCTGGCACTCTATGGGTGACTTTAATGCTCGTGCAAAAAGTAACTTAGAGGATGATAGAGACACATCATGCAAGCAGGTTCCATGCATGCTTTCCCACACAACCCTCATGCTTACCTCCAGCCTGAAGTATTCACGTTAGAATGGGAAGCCTGAGTCTCCTAGGAACAGAGCTGACTACACTGTGGATTTGCAGGGTTTTTGTTGTTGTTGTTTTCATCAAAGTGGACACTTTCCATATTGGGCAAGCTGCAATGGGAGGGTCAGGCTGATCAGCAAGTAGAGTGAGCTCAAGAACATTAGTGAGGTCTCCTTATCTCTCTCCAAAAGCTACTCAACTGGAAAGTCCATAATTAGAAACAGAGGACACTTTGAGTCAGGACAGGGATTCCTAACCTGGTGTTTGTGAAGCACTTTTAAGGAGCTCATGAATTAAAAAAAAATATTTCAATAACCGTATTTCAACATAATTGGCTTCCTTTGATATCTTATGTACTTTATTTTATGCACTTTAAAACATTATTCTCTGAGGGCAGCTAAGTGGAGCACCAGCCCTGGAGTCAGGAGGACCTGAGTTCAAATCCAGCCTCAGACACTTACTAGCTATATGACCCTGAGAAAGTCACTTAACCTCCATTGCCTTCCCCCCCCAAAAAAGAAATGAAAACATTATTCAGAAGAGTCCACAGGCTTCACCAGACTGCCAGACCCCTGAGCTGGTGGGGATTGGGAAAAGATACAACAATGGAAGTTACTACAAGCCTCACTTGTAAGGAAGGCTCTGAAGGGATATGAATTGCGGAGATAAAAGGATGTATTTCAGGTACGGGGATGGCCTTTATGAGGACATGAAATCAGAAGGTTACATGTGAATTTAAGGAATCAGCTCACCATCCAGTTTGGCTAGAATATAGACAGTACATGAAGAAGTAATGGGAAATAAATCTGGAAAGGCAGACTGGAGACAGGTTGTGTGCCTATACCAGAATAAGAACTTTCTATATATTACCCTAGAAGCAATAGGGAGCCAGTGAAGGTGTTTAAGCAGGAAAATGTCATGGCTCATTCTGTGTCTCAGGAAGATTATGAATGGATTAGAGAGATTGGGAACAAAGCCATAAGTCACTTCCATTACAATAGGTGAAGGTGATGAGGTACCCTAGGGTAGTGGCCATGTGAATGGAGGGATGAGGATATCTATCTATCTGTCTATCTATCTATCTATCTATCTATCTATCTATCTATCTATCTATCTATCTGTATGTGTGTATGTATATATATGTATATATGTATTTGTACACACACACACACACACACACACACACACACACACATATATATATGTTAAGACTTGGTCAATTTCATATGATAGGGTGTGGGAGACAGAATACCAAATATTACTCCTCAGGATTTAGTGCATCATAGGTATTCAGGAAACATGAATGAATTTGTCAGTCGATGTAAATGACTTTCAGATCCTTTTCTGAGAGTAGGTTTTGATAAGGCAACGATAGAAAGAACTCTGTTTATGGGGAACAATTTTGTCCTATTCATCCCCTGAAAATAGGATTAAATGCATTTTCTTCTTAAAATGTGTAGATAGACATGGCCACTGATATCCTTTTTCCTATTCCCTTTGAGCCTATCATAAACTTAGAGAGGAGAATGGCTGAATAAATTATGGTACTTGAATATACTGTGTTATAAAAAACTGTGTTATACTGTGTTATAAAAAACAGTGAATATGAAGCATTCAGAGAAAATACAGGAAGACTTATACGAACAGGTGCAAAATGAAATTAGCAGAACCTGGAAAATGATATACAGAATGACTATAAGGATGTAAATGGAAAGAAAAAAAAAGAAATGGAATACTGTCTTATATTCTTATATTCCAATAACAAACCTTAATCCTGGAGAAGAGATAAGAAAATGCATTGTTGTAGAGATGGGGAATTACATATATATGGAACATTGTATATCCTGAGAGATTTGGTTGATGTATTGATTAATTTTGCTGAATTGCTTTTTCCCCCTCTTTCTTTTTTATAATTTGTCACAAGAGATGGTTCACTGGGAAAAGGAGGGCAATGAATAGATAAGGAGGGATATGAAAGTAATGTAAAAACCAAAAACATAAACATCTAAAAATTTTAAAGGTATTTTTTCTATTTATTTTTAATTTATGGAATAAAACAAGCATTTTCATAACTGTACAATAAAAAAGACGATTGTGCATGAAACTACAAATCTATTATGTACAACTTGCTATTCCTTTTAAATAGATAATAAAGTTATTGTGTGAATTTCTTTTTTCTTTCCCTTTTTTCCTTCCTGCTTCCTCACTCCTAGCCTAGAAATGGCTTAAACTGACCATAATTGGGATAATTGGAGAATAACTGGAGAAGCTAACAGTATCAGTATCTTTAGTGAGGAATGAATGGCTAAGCCCTAAACTAGATGGGCCAGGGAACAAGTAGTAGGCTTCAGATTTCTCTCCTTTTAGGGACCTCAAACTTCCCAGAATGAGTTTTTCCACTATAAATTATTTCCATCAATCCCTGTCCACCACCAAGTAGGTATCAGCTCATAGTGTATTAATGAGATACAAGGCCATGGCATATTTGAACTGTCCCCCTTGGGCATCTATCTCACAGGCAAGTCTCACTACTCTCAGAACCTTTGACCTGTAAAAGATGGCAAACAATACTTTGCAGACATGAGTTAATCAATTGTAGCCTTTAGGAAAGATTGAAAAAAACAAACCCAACATCAATCACTCTGAGGATGCAAGAGACAGCTAGGGTGAAGACAAGGAGGGAGAATAGTCTGATTTGTCTGTAATTTAGTGTACACAAAGGGGAGAAGTAGAAGATAAGATTCTGAAAGACAGGCTCAGAAATTCATATTTTATCTCATGGGTAATAGGGAGCCACTGAGGTTTTAAGTACAGGAGTGACATCATTAGAGCAATGTATTAGGAGGCTTGGGTTCAAATCTTTATACTTATTGCCTTCAGAACCTTGGGCAAGTCACTCCATCATTTTATAAATCAGTTTACTCATTTGTAAAATGATCATACTGGACTATATGACTTGTGAGCTAATAGTCTATGTAGATGAATGCATGGGGCTATGGATTTATAGATCTATCATAGATCCATGTAGATCAGAGGTTTGGGTTCAAATCCTGTCTTTGACATTTACAGCCTTGTAACCTTGGGTAGGTTACCTCACCTCTCTAGACCATCTGCAGAATTAGGGGGTTGGTTGGACAAGATGGCAGATGAAATGCCTTCCAGCTCTTAATCTATGATTCTTTGAAGTCGTTTAACTGCTCTAGGCCTAAGTTTCCTCATCTGAAAAATGAGAGATCAGATAGATGCTTTGTGTATAAGGTCCCTTCTTCCAACTCTAAGTCTGTGATTTGTGATATTAAGATTACTCAGGAAAGAACATAAGAAGTGGATTATAGACCAGACATAAGAAGACAAATTAGAGTCTACTACAATAGTCAAGGTGAGAGAAGAGAAAGGCCTGGACTCAGGTGACCGCAGTGCAAGCAGAAAGGAGGGGCTGGATATGGTTCTTGTTCTAATTTTTAAAACTTTGTTCTTGCCTGTAGCCTGGTTTCTTTTAGTCACAGTACAATTTCTCTGGTATCTTACTGTCTTACCTCACGCTAGCTTTCACATATGTTTTTTTTTTCATTAACAGTTATATGTGCAGCACAATTTTAACATGCTCAAGACTTCAGTCTCAGCAGCCTGGCTTTCAAACTTCTAGTCTATCTTTATCTGTTAAATTGATGCTACATTTTGGGGAGTGGGAAGATGTAAGAACAACTGTTTTATGTTTCTGGGTGGGTCTTTATTGGAGGACAGTAAGAAAAAGGAGAGGAAGCAATAAAAATCTGCTAGACCTGGGTTTGAGATAGGATATGGGATACTGCAGACATGGAAGAGAAGATTCCTGTCCTCTGTGTCCTTTAGTAATAATAAGTCACACTGATAGTCTTTCTAAAATGCTTTCGTTATAACAATGCTGTAAGGTACACAGGATTCTTCTTCTTTTCTTTCTTTCTTCTTTTTCTTCCTCCTCATCCTCCTCCTTATTCTTCTACTTCGTCTTCTTCATCCTCCTCCTTCTCTTCCTTGTTCCTGTTCTTCTTAATTTTCTTCTTGCTCTTCCTCCTTCCTTCTCTCTTTCTCCTCCTCCTCTCCTCCCTTTCTTCCTCTTCCTTTTCTTCTCCTCTTGTATCATCATCATTGATTTTTGGATAAGTACACAACTCAGAGAAATTAAGTAAATTTCCCATAGCCAAAAATGTAATTGTCAGTAATAAGTAATGGTAAATGTCAGAACTAAGACTTAAATCAATATCTTCCAATAATATCACGTTTATTCTTTTTTCATGGTACCATAGGTACCAGAATCCTTAGGTATAACAGGATCATGGTTATTGGGGGTTTAGGTGGCCTTGTTATATTTCTATGACCCAAATGTCCCACTGGCATCAAACCTAGCATTAGGATTCACGAGAGTCAGTAAGTAAAAGGACCCTCCTCATCTCCAAATCATGGAATTCCTAGCTTCCTTCAAAATAGCACAGACATACTATCTCCTCTGCAAGGACACTATGAGTTAATTAGCATTTTCTCCCTCATGAAGTTAGTTTGGATTGTTTTACTTATACTTTGTATTTATTTTTATACATGGTATTTCTCCCTGTAGAATTCAAGATCTTTGAAGGCAAAATCTTTCATTTTTTTTTTTGTCTTTGTATTCTCCATACCTACTGCCATGCCTAACATTTAGCAGGTTTTTAGCTAATTCTTGAACTGAATTAAGTGAATCACTTCCTGCTCATTCCTGGAAGTGTCTTTACTGGAAGGTAAAGTATTGAGTGAAGAGAGCTGTGTGGAGTTATCTCACTCATCTGTTCTGTACTGATCTAGAAGTGAACCAACAGAAAACCATACTAAACCAAGGCTCTATGGTAGACAGATGGTTTATTACTCCTCAGTAGGAGATTTTCTGATGAGCTGAGTCAAGGTAGCAAAACCTGAATTACATTATCATTTCCTTTCCCCAGAAAAGTACACCTTTGACAATGGGCCCTAATTGTGGTGATGAGAGTAAAAAATGTTACTCTAAAAAAAAAAGATATGTCTTTGTGCTTCTTAAATGAAACAGAACTGTGTAGTCACATACTTACATACACTTTTCCCA